CCAATGCCACTCTGCTTGTGAAGTGACCCCTAGCTTGAAAGAGAAGATAAAAGATAGAAAAAAAGGACTCAGAATGCATTCTTACACCTCTACCTTAGACATAAATAAGCACTCTAATGGATAACAACCTGAGAATAAACTGTTTTGAAAGATAATACCCAAAGAGTTAGTGCCAATCTTGTTTCCCCCACCCAGAGAAAAAAAGTCCGTAAGTACTAAAGGCTGAGATCAATGTTTATAAAATGATCACTTTGTATATGTCATTATTCCTATTTTGGAATAAAAACTGACCTTTTTAGTTTTGTCCTTTGTAAACAGCACCTTCTGTGTCCTTCTCCCCATTTTGTTAGTTAATTTAAACTCAGAAAAAAACCCTCAAACTAATACTTTTGTTTGTTCCTGTCTTATAAATAAAATGTGTGATGCATGTGTTGGTTCTTCGGGGGGTCTTGATTGCGTGGTTCTGAGGGGAGGCAGTGTGGCCAGTGGTTGTCAGGTCTATGTGCTTAAAATCTCGTGGTGCAACAAAGTGGAGTTGGGGGAAGGAAGCCAGAATATCACCGGCAGTGTGAGGCCTATTAACATACTGAGGAATTCCTGAAAGGCAGACGGAATCGGATGTACCAAAAACAAATATGGGCAAACCAGTGAAAAGTGTGCAGAGAAGACATCCACAAAGGAACGACGGTTGAGGGGTGCTGAGCTCAGAGTGGCTGCGGAAGGAGACCAGGGGCATTTGTCCCAAAATGGGGAAGCAGTTTGGAGCCCCAAAGCTATTTGATTCCTTGCACCCCCTTCCCATCATACTCCCTGTATTCCACCCACCTGTGCCAAGCAGCTGGCCACCAGGAGGAGGCCCCAGGGAGGCCAGACCTCTGTGCAGACGAGCCACTGGTGCCCCTGTCTGCCCCGGTATGTTCTGTCCCTATAATCATTTGAGGTCATTTGTAGTTAACGTAATAAGTCAGCAGGAGCTCCCTAGAACAGAAATAAACACACAACTAAGATCCAGAAAATACTTAAGAACACAAAACAGTGAGAAAGGTGGTGACCCAACCTCAGTGAAGAGCTGATAAAGCAAACAGTCCTGTGAACCGAGGGTGCTTCAAAGCAGAGTCGTGAGATTATAATGTGCCCAAAACATGCAAGAAGGCAATTAAGACATCCGGGAAAGTAACCTCAGTAGGCAGGTGAAATAGCCAGACAGGCTCGGGAGAATAGAGAGCTGGGAGGCTCGGGAGGAGTCTGTAAGGGGCTGTGGACAGGAATGTGGGTGGTCCGCACTGACCTCTAACTCCCCCTCACTGCTTGTCATCCTGCAGGACCCCAGGGACCTCTGCGGGCAGGTGCCCAACTCAGGCCTTCCTGCCGCCTCTGCCTGGGGAGCTCTTCCCTCCATGTCCCCTGGATCACTACTCAGAGGTCACCTCCCCACGAGGCCATCCCAGAGTGGGTACTAAAGAGAACGCATTTTTGAGTTTTTAGTCTGCCCCCAGTGAAAGTAGGAATTTTGTTCACTGCTGTATCCCCTGAACCTTGAACTTGCCCAGCACGTGGTAGGTACTTATGAAGTGTCTGCTGAGTGAATCAGTGAATCTCCTGTAGCTTAGATGACCTCAGCGTGGGAGCTGCGGTGGTGAGGGAGGAAGTGAGGAAATAGAAATTGAGCTAAAATGGTTGAGTCACTGGGGCTGCAGTGATTGGCATGTTAGTGGAAAAGGAACATTTACATGTGAACTAAACACATTTGGAGTAGCAGTGAATTAAAAGGAACGCAATGTCCAACATCTAAAACATTAAAGGGAAAACAGCAATGACAAAATCCATGAATCCAACACAGGCAGGATGAGGTTGGGGAGGTGGAAAACAGCAGGGAATCCTGGTAAATAAGAAATAAAATGATGGAAGGGCACACACCAACATATCAATAGTCAAACATCAGTGAATTAAATTTGCCTAGTACTAGACTGAGTTTCTCAGACTAGGATAAAGAAGCTAATTAGAATAGAATTTAATTTTCTTTTTGCAGTTTTTTTGCGGGAGCCAGGTTTGAACCCACCACCTCCGGCATATGGGGCTGGCACCCTACTCCTTTGAGCCACAGGTGCCACCTAATTTTCTTCTTTTTTTTTTTGAGACAGAATCTTACTATGTTGCCCTCAGTAGAGTGCTATGGCGTCACAGCTCACAGCAAGTTCAAACTCTTGGGCTTAAGCGATTCTCTTGCCTCAGCCTCTCAAGTAGCTGAGAATACAGGCACCTGCCACAACACCTGGCTATTTTTTGTTGTTGTTGTTGCAGTTGTCATTGTTGTTTAGCTGGCCCGGGCTGGGCTCAAACCCATCAGCCTCAGTGTATATGGCTGGTGCCATAACCACTATGCTATGGGCACTGGGCCAGAATTTAATATTTTAAAAAGATAAATAAGCAAAGAGCAATTTTAAGTTAAAGTTACAAAATTATTCCCAAGGAGATGATAAGGAGCACAAAACTTTGTAGCCATGTCAACAGACTGTGAACTATTTAAAGTAAAAACTGTTAGGAATGTGATTAGAGTGGGTAAAGTCCACAATCATAAATGGATGCTGGTCCATCTCCCAGAAAAAAAGAGACCAGTGGAGATGAGATTTGACTGACACGGTAACTTTGATATAAAGGAATTAATCTTCAAAGGAGAGATTCTGTGTTACAAACTATTCCAGAAAATGTTCTGAACCAGGTAGATGGTTATACAACATTACAAATGTATTAAATGTCAATAAATGTAAAATTTTTGTGTATTTTATCACAACAAAATAAAGCTATTCCAGAGCATTGGAAAGCATAGAAATCTAAATTCCTGCAAGACCAGAAATAACACTAATCCCAAACCAGTTAAGAGTAATAAATACATAAAAATACTCTGGCTCTTAAATATAACCTAGACTTAGTTTCTTCTATTTTTCCTTTTAAGGAATAGCTAATTTTCTTTTCTTACTATCTGTACAGTTTTTTAAATTTGAATATTCATATTTTTCTAAAGTTCTAAAATTTATACTCTGGTAAATTATTTCATAATAATAATTTTCTGGCATAAATTTGAACATATTTTTATATTATAATTTTAAAAATCTCTTCAGTATCTTTGATTCTCTTTTTCATTTAGTATCTCTGTCTTCTCATTTTTTTTTGTTCAGCCTTGCCAAAGACCTATTTTATGGAATTTTTCAAAGAATAAACCTCTGGTTATAAGTATACTTTTCATGTTTGTTTTCAATGTCATTAATTTCTGTTTTCGTCTTCACTTAATTCCTTCTGTTTTCCTTCCATATATTTTATGGTTCAATTAAATGCAGAAAACCCAAACACATAATAGTAAATCAAAGCAAGGTAAATATCAAAAAATGAAATGACTACATATGTCAGCAATAACCAACTGAAATAAAATTAATGGAAATAAAATTCCCAATCACCAAAGAAACTAAAGCTAGAAAATACCGTTATTAAATTGAACAAAAAAATTGTAAGACCTCTGTGAAGACAGTTAGAAAATTTCTACAAAGGAAATAAAAGAAGATAAATATAGAGAAAACTATATCCCAATGTAAAGATTCAATATTCTAAGATTATCAGTTTCTTCTCTGCCCCACCACTGCCCTAAATTAGCCTACAAAGCTAATCAAAACCCCACCTAGATTGTTCCTGGAAGCTGCCCATTG